AGCCAAAATATGATCTTGAATATATCCCTCCTGAATTTAGAGACCATCTGAAGAACAGATTTGATGCACTGAACACCAATGACCAAAAACCAGAAGAACTGTGGGATGACATCAAGAACATCATCCACGAAGAAAGCAAGAGATCTTTAAAAAGACAAGAAAAGACCATAATGGATGTGAGAAGAGACTCTGGACCTTGCTCTTGAGCACAGAGTACCTAAAGCAAATGGAAGAAATCACAAGATAAAAGAGCTGAACAGAAGATTTCAAAGAGCAGCTCAAAAAGACAAAGCCAATTACTATAATGAAATGTGCAAAGACCTGGAGTTAGAAAACCAAAAGGGAAGAACACACTCAGCATTTCTCAAGCTGAAAGAACTGAGGAAAAGATTTCAGCCTCAAGTTGCAATATTGAAAGATTCTATGGGCAAAACATTGAATGATGCAGGAAACATCAAAAGAAGATGGAAGGAATACACAGAGTAACTATACCAAAAAGAACTGCTTGATGTTCATCCATTTCATGAGGGGTCATATGTTCAAGATCCAATGGTATCAAAGGAAGAAGTCAAAACTGCTCTGATGGAATTAGCGAAGAATAAGGCTCCAGAAGTTGACAGAATACCTGAGATGTTTCAACAAACAGATGCCCCACTGGAGGCACGCACTTGGCTATGCCAAGAGATTTGGAAGACAGCTACCTGGCCAACTGAATGGAAGAGATACATATTTGTACCCATTCCAAAGAAAGTCGAGATCCCACAGAATGTGGAAATTATCAAACAATATCATTAATATCACATGCAAGTAAAATCTTACTGAAGATAATTCAAAAACGGTTGTGGCAGTATATTGACAGAAAACTTCCAGAGGTGCAAGCCAGATTGAGAAGAGGATGTGGAACAAGGGATATCATTGTGGATGTCAGATGCATCTTGGTTCAAAAGCAAGGAATACCAGAAAGATGTTTACTTGTGTTTTATTGACTATTCAAAAGCATTTGATTCTGTGGATTATAACAAATTGTGGATAACATTGAGAAGAATGGGAATTGCAGAACACTTAATTATTCTCATGAGGAACCTGTACATAGACCAGAAGGCTGTCATTTGAACAGAAAAATGGAACACTATATGGTTTAAAATCAAGAAGGGAGTGTGTCAGGGTTGTATCCTTTCACCACACTTACTCAATCTATATGCTGAGGAAATAAATTGAGAAGCTGGACTATACGAAGAAGAACATGGCATCAGGATTGGAGGAAGAATCATTAACAACCTGAGATATGCTGATGACACAACTCTGCTTGCAGAAAGTGAGGATGACTTGAAGCATTTAGTGATAAAGACTGACGAATACAATCTGCAGTATAGATTACATTTCAACATAAAGAAAACAAAAATCCTCACAACTGGACCAATAAGCAACATGACGATAAATGAAGGAAAGATTGAAGTTGTGAAAGACTCACATTGGCTGGTTCTACAATGGACGCCAATGGAGCAGCAGTCAGGATATCAGTTGACATATAGCACTGGACAAATTGGCTGCAAAGGACCTCTTTCAAGTGCTGAAAAGCAAAAATGTCTCAAGGACTAATGTGCACCTGACACAAGCCATGGTATTTCAATCACCTCATATGCATGTGAGAACTGGACAATAAAATAAGGAAGACTGAAGAAGAGTTGATGCTTTAGAGTTGTGGTGTTGGTGAAGAATGCTGAAAGTACCATGGACTGCTAGAAGAACTAACAAATCTGTCCTGGAAGAAGTGCAGTTGGAGTGCTCCTTGGAAGCAAGAATGGCCAGACTTCGTCTTACATACTTTGGTCATGTTGTCAGAAGGGACCATTCGCTGGAGAAGGATGTCATGCTTGGTAAAGTGGAGGGTCAACGAAAGAGGGGAAGACCTTCAATGAGATGGATTGACACAGTGGCAGCAGTGATGGGCTCAAGTACAGCAAGGACTGTGGAGCTGGCACAGGACCAGGCGGTGTTTCATTCTGCTGTGCATGGGGTCTCTATGAGTCGGAGACAACTCAATGGCACCTAACAAGAACAATCTAAATGTGGATACATAGGTAGATAGGCAAAATGATTAGGTATGGCTAAGTGGAAGAGAATATACCCATGACCATATATAGGTTTGGCAGACAATATTTCTACATATGTATTTGTATGTACTGTAAAATGTCCACACACATAATAGAGGTAACATAGGCAAAGTTATGATAACTTCTCAGGCACAGTAAGCCTGGAGTGAGTTGTTGGATCTGTGGGCTTGGGACCATGGTTGCGGGGGACATCAGGCTCAACTGGCATAATATGCTACACAAAAACACTGTTCTACGTCCTGCTTTGGTGAGTAGCAACTGGGATCTTAATACCTTGCAAGCAGCCACCTAAGATGCAACAATTAATCTCTCTTCGTGTGGAGCAAAGAAGTGAAGAAAATCAAAGATACATGAAAACAATTAGTTCAAGGGACTCGTGGACCATGGGAACTTCAGCCTAAATGATCCTGAGACCAGAACAACAAGATGGTGGCCATTACCACTGGCAACCACTCTGAAAGTGATCAAAATAGGAGATCTTGGATGGAGTGGGAGAAAAATGTGGAACAGAACTCAAATTCATAAAAAAAAAAAAAAGACCAGACTTACTGGTCTGATTAGGGACTGGTGAAACCCCTGAGACTATAGTCTCTAGTCACCCTTCAGGTCTGAAATTGAACTCACTCCGGTGGTTTAAGGAGCTCTGGTAGCATAGTGCCTAAGGTACTTGACTGCTAACCA